TATAATGCGTTATGGACTATAATGCTTAACTTTTAAAGTTAAATTAAATGCAAATGTTTCCTAAGTAGGCAGCTCAAAAGGTTTTAGAGAAACCATTGTTTCATATATAGGCTAAATGTCTTTCATTTCCATCCTTCGTAAACTACTTTACCTCCGCACATGCATTGCTTGCTCTTTTACCTCTCATAGACCTCTGGCTACATCTCGTTACCCATGCTAACCTCTACATGATACACCATCTCTGCTCTCCCTCTGACAATCTTTCAGTCAAACATCTGTGTTCTTCAAGTTCACCTGGTCCACCTCCATCAAACAGAGCGTTTGCATATTTGCGGCCTCCTCCTGGCACCCAAGCCGTTATGAATAGTTTAACAGGAGTTGAATGACATTGTGTTGAGGCTGGCTGTGCCCTTCACCGAGGGCTGTGGTCCAGTCACCCGCCCGGTTCAAATGCGTCCGTAACTCAAGCAGGCCTCAGACCAAAAAGGTAAAGACTCCCACACGTCACACCAAGGGAAAGGAGAAGGAAGGACAAAGAGGAACGTGACGGAGGACAGGAAGGAGAGAGGACGAGAGCAGAAAGACAATATGCAACTGCAATTAAGTTCGCCACCAGGGGCAGCGCGAGGGGAAATTGAGTCAATGCAGGGAGGCAAAAGCTTTCATTTGATTGGCTGCCAGGTCAGACAAGGGATAGAATAATGATGTAGTAAAGACATCCTCTCCAGTTAGCAGTTAGCTGATGGCTTCTACACTCGTGATCAGGAGAATGAAGCAATAGTTGAGTAAAGAAGAGAGATGGGTGATTTCCAAAAGCTCTTATAAATAATGAACAATCCTAAAGAGATTTCATTAGGGTAACTGAATAAAGCTTAGCCAATGCACAATTATTCTGGTGCCCCATGGAGGTATAGCGATCTCATTTCAGGTACACTTGTTTAAATATATTAAGTGACATATTAAAGCATGTAATTTAACATTAATTGTTCATATTAAATTCAATATAAATATATATATATATATATTTTTTTTTTTTTATTAAAATAGTGTCTATTGCATGTGGTTGTCTTGACAAAATACACTAATAAAATATAACATTTAGAAAATCTGTGCATTAGTTCACGGTTTCGTTTGGACTCATTATTACTAACATATCCAAAAATATGGCTGAATGGTCTCTTATGCTCACCCATATGTTTATTTGATGTAAAATACTGTAATATTGTGAAATATTACTAATTTAAAATAACTGTTTTTCTATTTAGTTTTAAGATTCATATTTTTTGTTATATTTTATTCCTGTGATGCAAAGCTGAATTTTCAGCATCATTACTCTAGTCTTCAGTGTCACATGATCCTTCAGAAATCATTTTCAATAAGTTTATTTGCTGCTCAAGAAACACACTATTATTAACAATGTTGAAAACTGTTTTTGCTGCTTAATATTTTTAAGTCAAAACAGAACTATTTTCTAATATATAAAATATATCTAAGATACACTTATATGGAGGGTTTATCACAAATATAATGCATGTTATATAACATTTTATCGGTTTTGAATTAATTTGGCATCATGCACTGACCTGCTTCCCATGTCCCATCCCATTCTCCTCAGTGAGCCGTACAGACCTTGTCTGGATAGATTACAAACTAGCACATGATTAAAATGACCCATAGGCCAGGGTATCCTAGAGATCTGGAGGAAGAGAGCTAGATCACTGCTGCCAGACATGGACAACTGAACTCCAAGCGTACGGACGCTGTGACCTTTATGTGTGGAGGTAGAAAAGCGACACGGCCACATTACCATAGAGGACCAATTACAGTCATTGTGTGATCACGCTAATCGCTGATCTGAGATCAGATTTCAGCCCATAACCCTACATTTCGGCTAAGAGTCATAGCGTGGTCGGTAACTGATCTCAGATATTAAAGTGGCAGTTAACCGTAATGTGGTCCAAGGTTCATTACACAGGGGAGAGTCAGGTAGCCACAACAGAGGAGAGTTTCAGCGGAGGTATCACACACACGTGCGGTACAAACATTTTGGCTTGTGACAAATCCAAAAACAAATGTCTAGCATGTTTACATTTTACATATTGCATTTATTTGATTGGCAGTCTTTCTTATTAAAAGCAGCAAAATGGTGGCATTTATGAATCTACTACTTTTGCAGGCATCAAATAAAATGTAAACACTCAGGTCACAAGGTCAAATTAGAACATGGTGCTTAATGGTAAATAATATTGACAGAACTGCAAGTATATGGATGCACTTTGTAACTGCACTTTTGATTTCTAAATGTATTTAACAACATCATTGAATGTAAAATCTCTAAATACACTTAAAGCAAAGATTCTAAACACGGACGGACACACGTAGCCAATATATAAAACATCTTTATTTTTTTTATAAGAATCTTTTTGGCATTTGTGCTCAATTACAAGGACTAAAAGTTTACTATCTGCAGGATCTGCATGAACTACAGTTTGGGGGTCAGAATTTATTTTTTAATAAAAGGAACTAATACTTCTATTCAACAAAGACACTTTCAATCGATCAAAAGTGACATTAAATATATTTTCATAGTTACAAAATAAATGCTATTGTTTTGAACTTTATAATCAAA